TATTTTCTCAGACGAGTCTGGTACAATGAAACGATCACGAAGGGATGGATGGAGAGCTCGGTTGGCTTGGGCGGACATCAATCCGGGACTGATTCTCTGACCATGCATGTGTGATAGTGCGCCACTTGCCATTAAACCACGTCCACCAGCTTTTGCATAATTGCGTAAAAATACATAAGCCCACCGAGAAAAAGACATCCTACTTCGTATATGTAATAATTTCAATTTTCTGATTAGTCCCATGAAAGTAAGCAGATGATTATTGCCGTATTTATAATTACAGCTATCCAAACGTTAGCCGCAATCAGAGACTTCCCCTAATTGCTGAATCCAATAGTAGGATTAGCCAAAGCAGTCTGATTGCAGACATATGCGAAGACTATATGAATAGGCTTTCTTCCATAGAAATGTTACTTTACAAAATTAGCAGTATTCAGCGAACGGGAAGCGGGCAGTAGGAACGGTTTTCTGTAATCGATTCGCCGCACGCGGCTGTCGCGGTTCTAGCGTTCTTCATATGGCTTGATCGATATACAGTCCTTATTTTAAGCATGATTCTACTAAATATTAGTTCTTCTGTTCCTGTATTTCTCACTTGCTGCTGCATTCTGCTACATTCCTTCGCGCACGGCGTCAGTCTCGCCGCGACGCGACAATTTTGATCCTACTACACCACACCCGCGAGTGGCGTTCCATCGAGAGCGGAACAATGATGGTCAAATTTAGAGGGAAGTTTCTCGAATATATATTCAGACATCGATACTGAACTGGAAAACCTGTCCAGGATTGTAACCTAATCCAAGGTGTAAGGTTTACCTAGGGTATACCGGAGAGGTTTTTCCCGAAATTCCAATACAAATGAATCTTATTGCGAATGTGGAATTCAAATGATTGTTGAAGAGGTTCATATTCCGTTTCATGATGCTCTAAAGGAACCAACAAACGTTTTTGAAGCTTTTGATGATCAATTGATAGCGATTGCAGCCTTATTTTCGAAATTTCGGATTTTCCCCCTATTGGATTTCTATGTGGGTCTTCTCAATAATCCTGAGGATCTGAGCATTCGACCCGACTTACTATAAGCTTGGACGAATGCGAGTATGAGTTTTTGCAAATGCGGGAAGAGGAAAAGTGTCAGGCTATGAGAGAAAATTTTAAATTTGAAAAAAAAAGTTTTGGGGAGTTTGTGATCGTGAAACCCTACCCCAAACTCAATAGACAGCCTTATGTCGAAGAAACGAAAGGCTTACCGGCAACAAGTACGAAGCAAATGGCAAAAATTTCCAAAATCCCAACAACAATTGTGAACGTCTTCGCATGACAGCAACAAGCTTTGTAATGTGAATCGTTCGGATTGAAGGCAGCTGATCCAGCATTCGCCATTTCTGAAACTTCACCTGTGTAATATAGGAGTAATGTGAAGAATCAAGAGCAAGTAGAAATTACAGAGGAACGGATGAAAACTGGAAAGAGCACAAGAAATTGAAGTTCATTCTGATAGAATAAGAGAAACATGGAAATAAAAGAGTACGAAAAACTTGAAACACATCAGAGAGGTGGAGGAGGGGAGAGCAGTTGTGACAGGTGAAATGTACGTGTTCATCAGAATGGGACAGATTCCGTACCCGTTCATGAATGTGAACTCACCACTAGTTTCGAATTCTACTTTCTGTAACCTATACTAATTACTCCAGTACTAGCTCGGTGAGTCTCTTATATTATGAAATTGTTGAAGATAAGTAGTCGTCCTAAATGGTACATTAACAAAGTAGTGAAGGAATTGAACTATTGAAAGAAAATGAGTTCCACCCCGGAATATACTGCAAAAGAGCGAAAGTTCTACAAGTAGGTTGAGTGAGTTACATTCTACTGCTACCTGGTAAGGGCTTGAGTTGATGTCTCGTTTGTAGAATATTTGGAGGCAAACTTCTCATGGGATACTACTAATCGATTCACTCCCAAACTCTACCTTGAATGATTCAAATTTACTGTACCCATGACTTCTTATCAGGGGTATGCAATCTGCAGAGCACGTCTTTAAACCCTTTGCAACCGATGGTGAAGAGCCCAATCACCGATTGGATGACATTGGCTAAGTTTCAAGTTCCTTGTCCTAAAAAGTGAGGGTTATAAGAATTGAGGTTGATCGAAGTCTCTAGAAGCAGCACAGTTGAAAGTCACCGGCTTACTTTCCCTGGAACCTCAATTAGAGTGAGCGACTGGACTTCCTGTTTCTACCCCTTTTCTCTAACCAAAGGGCTGAGGCGTTCACTGAAGGGCAGTGGCTTACCAGACACAAAGTTCTGTGAAACTAACTTCGAAAGTATAGGAACAGGCTGCAGCAGTTCCCAGGCGTCAATGGCTGACGCCCTTATATTGACGTACTCCCGTCGTTTCCCACGTCAACTGTGAGACCCTGGTAATTGTGTCTCTTGTAACTTACAAGAATGTTTCTAGAGTTCCAGGCTTTCCTGAGTGCTACCACTTGACCAATGTAAGTGGGTGGTTGGTGGAAGTCTGCCTAATTTTTAACTACTAGCTATTTGGGCTTCAGAAGGCTAACGCCAACGGCTACGTGTCCGTCGAAACTAGGTCACGCCGCAGCTGTCGCACGCGGCGTGTCAGCCCGCGATCTTTGTTAGACGTCGCAGTTGTCAGCGGGGCATACGCGCAGTCAACTTGAAGCAGTCAACTTTAAGTGAAGACAACACGGACTAATGCAAATCATTCGCTCCACTGTCACTTAATATAATAGTACCTTAAAGTCCTCTCTGCTCCGCGTTCAAAGCAGGG